GGGGTGAGGCGCACTCGCGGGCGTGCTGGCGGGCGGCGGCCTTGTTCCGCTGGAACTGCGCCGCACGGGCCTCGGCCGAGTCGTGCCAGGTGGTCTCAAAGACCGGGGTGTGGATGTCATCGGCCAGGCTGCCGGAGGGGGGCGAGGCGACTGGCGATCCGACACGCGGCGCCTCGATTGAGCCGCCGGCGCCGGCGCCGCGCTGGGTGACAGAACCGCCGGCGCCAAGGCTGACGGCACTGCCGCTGGCGTGGCCGGAGCGGGTGATGGCCGGCGACCGGGGCGACGCCGGCGAGCCGGGGCCCGGCGGCGAGCCGGAAGCGTCGGGTTCCCGATCAGCGCCCTGCTCCAGGGGGGCTGGCGTGCGATTGGTCGCCGCGGGGGACAGTTTGGCTTTGGGAAGTGCGCATGCGTGCGTGTGCGTGTGCGTGTGCGTGTGGGGGGGGGGGGGGGGACGGAGGCGTGTCGGAGGATGGGGGCGTGCAAAAAGAAGCCCCGCCTCGCGCCCCCCCCTGCTCCTTGGGAGACACCCCGTCCAGCCCCCCCGAGCTGTCCCTCCCTCCCCCCCCCCTCCCCGCTCCTTTCGCACTCCACTCCTGCCCGTGCTTGATTTCCCCCCCTCTCTTCTCCCCCTCTCCCCTCCGTCCTGTAGCTGCCCGTCAGCCTCATCTCGTTGCCGCCGCGCGCGCCCCCTACCTGGCGGGCGGCGGCCACCCCGCGAGAGGCTCGCCTCGGCAGGACCAGACGAGGGAGGGGAGGGGGAGGAGAAAAGGCAGGCAAGAGGACGCCGATGTTTGGCCTTGTTCCTCCGGCTTTCTGTTGGCCCGCCCCGCCTGCCTCTCCCCCCCCCCCCCCCTGTGGTGGTGATGATGACCCTAGTAAGGGTCCCGAAGAATGGGGGGGGGGCCGAGGCCGGGGGAGGGGGGACACAACCCTACTCACATTTCTGCTCATGGCGGCGCACATTCATAGGCATGTTTGTCAGCCCTTAAAGCGAAATAGGGCCCCTTAGCTCAGTTGGATAGAGCGTGTGACTTCTAATCACAAGGTCTTGGGTTCGATCCCCAAATGGGTCTAGTGGAAAAGCCCCTAATTTTTTTCGCCCGACGCAGACGCAATCCCTCCATTTATGGGGAACCTCCCCTCCGGCTGGCCCCTCCGCTCGCCGGGACTGGTCTATGTGGTTGGGTGGTGAGAGGGCCCCCCGCCTATGGGCACCATGCGCACACGCGGTCGAGGTTCGATACGGCCCGATTGTGGAGGCCCTTTCGGCGCATGGTGGCCCTCTCGGAGACGCCTCCGTCGGCGGAGTGCGGAGCGGAGACCCTCGGGCGAGAAAACCGGAACATCGATCGCCGGGCTGGGGGCCTCCTTGGTGGGGGGGGG